AAAAATTTTGTATTGTTCGATACATATGCGTACCGAACCGAAAGCACTGTATCGAACGGTTCAATACCGATACGAGTATCGTTGCACCCCTACTGGCCACCATGTGAAAATCAACTCTGAGGTGACCTTTCAATGACAAGACTGCACCGAGTCTGTCACACCCACATGTTCACAACATCAGCTCACTGGGTTGGTGTAGTTTGTGGTTGTCAACAGCAGGCTTTCTCGCTGTGACGTGCATTCCCAGCGATCGCCGTTCCAACATGCAACCACGGCAGCAAACAAAAGCCCCAACAAAATCTGATAGCTCGCGGCAGCAGCGGCACCTGGAATTCCTTTCCCGCATTAGTTCCTAAAACTGTGACTAAAGTGGGCATGGATCAAACTCGAGCAGGAATTTCTGTGCGAAACTCACCTCTGCTGTGCAGATTTAGCAACAAGAGCTTCAGCAGGACACAGACTCTGACGGAGTTAAATGGGGGCTTGACGGAGCGATGTTGCTGGTTCTGTTCCAGCTTCACTTTGGACATGAGATGAGCCGGTACAAGATTGGAGTGAAGTAAAGAGTAATGGTTTAAACTGCTGGGTAAGCTATATTCAAAGAGGGAATTTCCAATTTCCACCTCACTGCAAGACAGCAATTATGTGACTCCTCCAGTGGTTTTTTTAATTCAAATATGAAAACATGACCTTTTCCTGCTCTCTTCCTCCATCTGAGTGTATCCATTCTACTGTGCACTGTTGCCTTCTGGTCTAAGTCAACAAAGAAAGCAGTACCAGAACTACACATAGCCATAAAGTTTGACTTTAGACAACAAATTATAGGAAATAACTAAGTCTCCCCCTCTGTGCCTGGTACGATTTAACACATTGCTCATAAGTAAGCAGCAGCAATGCAAGTCCCCATGTTAAAAACAGCAAATAATATGCCTTGCTGTGAGCTAATTCATTTAGCTAACAACTTGTCAGTCCATCACTACACCAAACATGGCCACTCCTAGCTCCATAAAGCCAGCGCCCACAACCAGGCAGCAGACTGGTGAAGTGAAGTGTGTGAGTGGGGTAGTTATTTGTGCTTAGGGCTGCCACGATTAGTCGACTAGTCACGATTACGTCGACTATCAAAATCGTCGATGACTGATTTAATAGTCGACGCATCGTTTGAAGCTTTGTAAGATCACAAAAGACGCAGGAATGAGTAGTAGGATTTAAGAGTGTAATAACGGACTTAAACAGAAGATGGCAGCACTGCATGTACAAGGACGCCAGCTGCCGTTAAACCCCGAAGAAGAAGAAGCTGTGTCCCAGAATTCATAGCGCAGCCCGGCTCAGTTTCCAACAATGGCGGCAGCTAGTTAGTTTTAATGTTACTCTTATTATTCTTTCTGGGTCACAAAATAAACGTTTAACATATTTTCAGGCGAGAATGTAGCTGTGTAAACCTCAAATATCTGCTCAGTTTATCAGGACACCACATATTTTCAAAAGCGCTCCGACGTTTTCGGAGACGTCTGTTACCGACTAGCTCGATAGCGAGCCGGGGGCTAGGCTAACTAGAGCCGTGAGAGCACCGGACTCCCGGCAAATTGTTTTCAAACCCACCGCCGTCTTTCGCTACTCAGCTTAAACATATATATGAGTCACTTAAATAACTTAAAAATGTTATTGTTTGGCTTTTTTCAGTATTTTATTTGTTCCTGAGTAAATCGGTTTGGCTGAGATTAAAGTTACAGTTTCTACACAACTGAATAAACATCAAGCAGACAGCTGATTATCAGAAGTGTGAGATGCTCGAGAATTTACTCCGGTGTCCTGTTATATTTTAGATAGCAAGGAGTTTATTAAATTTTAATGAAATTTGCAGATTGTTTCGGTGAAGTTTAATAAACTATCATCTTGTCTTTATTTTTAGTTAGCACAGATCTTAAACACTTAAAGCTGTAAGCTAATGATAGTTATATAAGAGCAGATGCTGCTGGTGCAATAAGCTGTACGCTGTACGTCCAATGGATGATGATCTGATTAGTCGACTAATCGCAAAAATAATCGGTGACTAGTCGACTATCAAAATAATCATTTGTGGCAGCCCTATTTGTGCTACTGCAAAAATAGGAGAAACATCCACAGCCAGCAGCCAGCGAAGCCCTGTGAGAGTGCTTTAAGATGGAGGGGTGATCATCAAAGAAAGGTCAAACAGTTTCCAGTGACTTTCATGTGTTTTTGCTTCAGAATCCCAGCTCTGTCCAAAAAAAAAAAATCACAAATGCATCTTCAACCAAAGCCGTTGATCTAATTTGCAGTTTTAGGGACAGTGATCTGGTTCAAACCAAAATGTCATGGGTTCTAACTTCATGCTTTGTCCAGCTCTCCGTCAAATTTGATGAAAAACGGCTTAGTTTTGTGTGTAATCTTTCTGACACACAAACATATATGAAGTAATACCCCGTCTGTATCGCCAACCATGTAAAATCTCCAGCGCTGAAGGCACCTCTCACCTTCATGTAGCCTTTAATGAAGCTTGCAGCCTTGACTCCAGTCTCTACGTTAAAACTGATGTCCACCTTGACGTCAGTCCTCTGGTCGGTCAGCTTGATGATTGGCACCTGAAAGATGAAGTGAAATGGCTCAACAAACACTACAGTCATGTCTTTCTGTAAAAACATGCTCACTGTGTCCTGGAACACAAAGAGGAAAAAAGGGAACAACTGTCCCAAATGACAAGCTTTTAGAAATAAAAGCTAATCCAAAAATGAAAACTCAGCCATTAACTACTTATTATCATGTCAGTCAAGAAGGCACTGAAGCCTGTGGTCGCTTGCCTGGTTGTGTGCACAGCCCACACGACGACTGTGCGGGCCACTGAGTTGCTGTTTTCAAATGTATCCCTACAGGATAGGAGCTATAAACACCTCCGAAGTAGGTGCACACCCGAGTAGCCCGAGCTGCAGAGTGATGGCTTTGACACAATGAAGGGAAGTTGCTGTGGAACCGAAATGAGTCGATAAGTAAAGTATGACTGACCTCAGCTGAACAGATGACGGCAAGTTTTCATTTTGGGTGAACAAGAGCAGACAAAGTACGCACTTCAGCATTCGCATCATAGTGGTTTCCAAAAAACAGCAGACTATTAATCAATAAAGAAATTGACAGAAAGTCCACCACAACTCAGGAAATGTGTCACCTGTGAGGCAAACAGATGGACGACACTGACGGTGTCTCACAGGTTAAAGTGGACATTAAAGGGAATAAGTCAAAGCTTTATACTTCTGGGCACTGGAAGTGCACAAGAGCTTTTTGGTGGCAAATTTTGTTTGCCTGGATTTCTTCCAGCTCTCCTCTTGATTTCTCTTTACTGGAGCATTTATTAGTTAGTGTGAAGAACTATCATTTTATCATTAGGCCAAAGCAATCAATTACTATTTTATACACAGGGTGGAAATTTATCATGTAGTTCCTTACTGAGAAATAAGCACTTTTTAATTTTGACATTTATGTAAATTTTCTGAATTGTCTTTATTAATCCGTCTGTTTCTGTAGAAACATTTCACAAGTTTCTTTTGTAGAAAATACTGAGCTATAAAGATACAGATGTCATGTAGAGCCCAGCTGATACAGCAGGTGATTTAACAATGTGACGTATTTGACAATTGATTTTTTTTGAGACCCATAAAGCAGATTTCCATCAAGTTTATTATGAGTTTCATTTATGTTTTCCATTTTCTTCAAATACTCTTTTATGCTACTCCGGACTCTGTTGCTAACCAGGAAATTGCAGATATCGTGTCAACAAACCATGCTTTTCATTTAGCAGCCACTGTGAATGGCAATACAGTTAGATTTGCAAGTCGCCAATCTATGGTCCAACAATAAATCAGTGTGACTCGACTAGCTAACAGGTATCCAACTAAACCTATGGGATAGTTTGGACTAGTATATTAGAAAGCATTTTTCACCGTCAAGTGTTAGTTTTTCTTTGCTTTGTTTTTTTTTTTAAGAAATACCAGCCAATAACTCGTTAAAGTCTTCTCAACCAGCTGCAATAAAGGATCAGTTGCTGGCCGCTATGAACGCAGAAAATAGCCAATATTGGCTGATAGTATTGTCCCACCAATAAATCAGCTGTGCTCCAGTGTGATGGCCCAAATGCAATGACATGCTATAGGTGCACACAGGCACAGAGTGGAGAAGCACGACCTGCTTGTCTCTACTTACTGTAGCCTTGTCCAGCACTTTAATGGAGTTAGGGTCGGCAACTTCATGCTTGCGAAGAGCTTGTTCAAGCTCTTGCAGTGGCGGGCGCTCCCACTTCCCAGTCACCATCAGGTCAATATCACTAAGGGCAAAAAACATACATGAACTAATTTAAACAAACATTAGTCCTAAAATTTAAATGACAAATCGGGAACAAAATTAAGTTGGCTATTTAAAAACTGAATAAATTTAAATCCTGCTCTTACCTTGTTGGAAGGTACAGCCCTGTGCTGAAGCTGCCATATATTTGGACCTGGTAAAACATGGTTACAGAAGTGTGAAAATGACCGAAATCACTGTCATTCATGGCATACAAGCTGACGTGTTACAGCTCTTCACATCACATTTTAACCATAAAGGGCTTGGCAACTTGCAACAACTACACTTCTAGCTCATTTGCGGTGGTGCTGTATATATCCAGTTCAAATGTTTGCAAACGACCAGGACTTAGGCATTTCCGGCTCCCTACTTCAGAGACTGTAAACACTGCCAAGTTAAGTACGCTGCCAAATTAAGTACACAATAGCAAAGAACAAAAATGCTGTGCTTGAGGGCTGCAAGTGAATGCTCTCCAAAGGAAGCGGAGTCATTTCCTTTTCCGTCAAGGCAAAAGCACCATGACAGGCCAGGGTAAATACATGGAAATGAAAAGGGAGGCTGGGACAATCTGAGGCTTGATCCATTTACCTGACAATGTGGCTCACAGCAGAAGTGGTGAAGACTGGCAGCCAACAAATCACTGCTGCGCGTGTTTTACATGATTAAGCAACGAGAGAGGCGGTGCATCAACCGCGCCTCGCTGTACTCTCCTCAACCAGCTGCAAGATCCTCCATCACCATTTCTACACCTCTCAAGTGCGAGTACAGACACTAATTTTTCTGTTTTAAAGAGTGTCTCATAACTTCTTTCCAGTTAGTTAATTATGTTCTCATTCCTTCTAAGGAAACTACAAAACAATGGTAGTATGAGGTCAGTTTTTGTTGGGTCTGACACATAGTACTTTTGTTAAAGAGGAACAGTTTGGTCAAAAGTGAGTAAGAGATCGATGCCAATCTCACGTCTGTCTGTTATTTAGAAAATTAAAACTAGGAGTCTGTTTGTTAGCTTGCGGTTTAACAGGAGGAGGGGTGACATGTGCCAGACTGAAACTTGGACGTGCACACCTACGGTCCTGTGACGCTGCCAGGTAATTAAGTCACTAAACCTGGCCAAAAAACATCCGAGCTGACTAATCTCTCACGCCCAATCACACTTCCTGATCGCAATAACTGATGTCATCTCTTGTCCAGTGATATTTCAAATGTCATATTAATACATTTTGTCTTTATAGTTTTGGAAATGTTTGTGCCTAATTTAAGCTCATTTTTAAGGGTTGTAGCCTAATGAAATTATTCAGTCAAAAATAAATTGTTTTTAAAAAGCACTAGCCGAATTTTCAAAATTTAAGCATGTTCCTTTAAATAATAAAATCATTGAATTAAAATGTACAGCTGTTAAAGGAGGGTGTAGTGAGAGCAAGGCTGGTATGCATAGATGTGCACAGTTAAAAAACAAACAGTTGGTGCTCCACCTGCTGTGGATCCAGGTTAGTTTCAAAGACTGCCAGCTGCGGCCCAAAAAGATCAAAGGTAGCGTCTTTTTCCCAGACAGAGAAAGAAAAAATAAAATAATAATTATTAAAAAAAAAAAAAAAGGGGGGGGGGGGGGGGACACTGTACTGTATTGAAACATTTGATAGTTTCAGCTATGATTTAGGAACACTGACAGGGTATCAGTGAAGTCTCTGATTTATGCTGATCCAAACAAACATGTGTGCGTGTGCATGCGTAACATACATCAACAGTAGGCCACAGCTCCTTGATGACCACCTCTATCCGGTTCACCACCTCCTTCCTCATAGCTGCCTCCTCCGGCCGAGGAGATATGTATTTGTAGAAATCCATCACCTCTTCGTGGAGTCTGGACAAAAGGACAAATAAGGGTTAAGTACAAGAATGAACTAAAAATAATCCAACTACGTGGTCACTGCTCTGGAAAGGTTCACACTGCTACTGCCGATGTATACATGTACTAACAAAGCTCATGATTACATGGACACCGCAAACTGAGAAACACTGCAACAGCTTATTAAAACATAATCGATGCCACAAGCAGATCTCAAGGTGTAATGAATATGCACCTCAGCCTGGTAGTGTTACAGCACTACTGAAAGCTTCCCTAATGAAAATGAACTTCGACTTGCAAGAATGTCACAGGGTTCAAAACCTTCAGGAAGTGGCTTCTCATTTTAGCAGGTACTGATCGTCATGTTCAGTGTTTAATATGACAAATGCGGCAGGTGGCGGATTGTATCAGCTGTTGCTAATGAACCTCAACTCTACAAGTGATTGATGACAGCCCCCACCCCCAAAAAAGCATCACTCTGTAACATCCCGGTAAAACCAGATCACGAGTAATGCTTCTTCTCTGCACCACAGTGTCATTTGAGAAAGCGCATTATCCCAAATAAGCTGCCATGTAAGGGGACTTATACTCAGTTCCAGCTTTGTATTCTTATTCTCAGACTCCAGATTAGCTTTTCACAATTCACACATCAATATAATCCTTAATCATCTTACACTGGTCCCCAGTTCATGCTCTGTCTGAAGGGTGAACAGAAGGTTTGAACAGCAGGTGGGAGGGCCGGGAGATGACCATATTGGGGATATCTGCTCTCACTGACATCATAGAGAGCCAGGAGTAGAAAAAAAATAGTGTGTTTAAAACCATCTGAGCCCAAGCTTTCAGGTCACAGAGGTACATAAACTGACCTCAAACTTTGTTTAACGTTTCTATCATTGAAGCATTACATATGTGAGACAATGAGAAAAGAATTTTAAGTCTCCAAGTATTTTCAGACAGTAAGTTTTATATTATATTGTTAAAGTGATTAAAATGGGTAATATTCCAGTGGAGTAAGAGTTACATTTAACAGTTGCATATTATGTTCTTCGAACATCTAGGCAAATTTTATTTGAAATCGCTGACGGCACGTTAGACTAGCATGGGCCCACTTTAAATTAGGAATCCATTAGCTAGCAGTGACCCTGTTGACTGATATCAACATACTGGAAAATAAAATGCCATTAACCAGTGTCGCTGGCCCATATGCATCAGCTGTGGTGCTGTGCGATACTGCAAATTTTGTTATGATCCAATACCGAGGAAATGCAGCCATATTGCAGACACTGATACGTTTAGTGCATCAAACGGCTTATGCAGTGGAGAACACTGTGTCATGACTTATGAGATTAATTATCAATAATTTGTAAACTGAACATTTTAATTTTTCATAGTGGATGTTTGAGATTTTTGAGGGGGTTTCTTACATTTCCCCCAAAAGTAAAACGTTAACACAGTTCAGTGGGCTACATACTGAACTCTGAGAATACAAACAAACGATCAATCCTATTCCGCTAGTATCAATCCAATACCAGTGTTGGGTTGGGTCATGTAGACTGATCTGACCACCTGTAATTGGCTGTGTCGCAAAAATTTTAAGATTCCTTCTTTTAAATAAAAAAAAACTTAAAAAAAAATAAAATAAAAAAAAAGCTGCGTAGATGTTACTTTGTTATTTTATTGATCTGTTGTCATTTCAAAATCATTGCATCCCTGTTTCAGATCATAGTAATAACAAACTTCAAACAGTCTTATTTTGAACTGGTGCCCTCGTTTGATCAAGAAGCTACAGCTGTTATTTCAGCATATCAAACAGATTTCTTGGGAAAATGGAGATAAATATTGGATTTGACTGGAAGATTCCCAATACTGTGATAATGGAAAACTCAATTAGGAAATCTGGTCTAATTGTGAAGTCTGAAAATGCATAAATATATTTTGAAATTGCAACTTTGTAAAACCACGTTACTAAACCTGCCTGCTTCAGTAACAGTCAAACTGAAATAATTTGATATATTTGGTTTTTTTTAAAAAGACAAAACATAAGTTTTTCTATGCCTTTATGAGAAGTCTCTTAGATCAGTACCAATTTAACCATCATAGATTCGGCTAACTGTAGCCCTGCCCCATATTGTAACCACCAGGCCAAAAATAAGCCTGAACTAAAGTGGTCAACGTGCAGAGGAGCTATGCTTTGCAGAATACTCATCTTCACTGAATACATTTGGCTTACAGAAAGACAACGGCACAACACACACTGGCCTGGGAGTCTCCCAGGCCCGTTGTTGATATGGATTTGTGTTTGACAGCAGGGCACACATAATGTACAGATTTCTGACCAGTTAAATGCCTTCGAACAGAGGAAGTCTGTTTGACCCATTCATTTTTTTTTCCTAGGAATGCATGCCACGATGCCAGTGTGAAATACAGAACAGGGGGGGACTGTCACAATCAATTACCAGAGCCCTGAAGAAAATGCACTCAGCCCCATGGGCCCACTCCTTGGTGAAAACTCTGTCAGCAAACCAGTCAGTCCAGCATGTATCCATGCTAACCGTCCAACGATTACACTCCACACAGCCCACAGTTAGAATAATAGCTATTACCAGAGCCATCCCTGACAAGCAATCTTACAGTAAACACTCAAAGCTTACAACTTTACTCCACCACAACATACAAGTATTTTTATGTTCACACTGTTCCAGTTTGTAGTGAAACTCCCTCTCTGTGCAGAACTTTAAAGGGCACCCCTGAAGGCAAACCAAAGCAACACTAGTCGGCACACAAGCTGAAACTTGTGTCAGAAAACTTGTAGAACCACGAATTACAAGATGAAATTCACTGTGGTTTCAGAAGAAAACATTCATTAACAACTTCAAATTTCTCAGCTCACTTAGATTTCACTGCAATTGGGAAACTCTGCATCACGCATGTGGAACTGCTTTCGTGACAAACACTGTTTCGTTGTTACAGAAGATTCCCAGATGGGTGCAAGCAGCCATTACAAATATCACAAATTCCTGCAACACATTCAGAAATTCTTCGCTCATTTGTTTCAGGAGGGCTTCGGTTAGTGCTCAGTTATACTTGAAAATCAAAAGCTATTCAGTTAGTGTTTTTATTACACCAACAATGCAGATATTGCAAATTTAAACAACCCTTATTTACCATTTATAGACATTAATTTTAGGTGAACTCAATACTAAGAAAATATAGCTAATCTGTGGCTAAAGCGAGTTCCTGGAAACTGATTTTAATCATACTTCAGTACTCTGGGATCCACCCTGTATGTTATGTCATATTGGCAGATCTCTGCAAATAGGGAGTGCACCCAAATTAACTTGGGCACAAAGGTAATTAATTCTGAACTAAAGCACGTACCTTGCACATAACTAGTCCTTTCCCCCACAAATTGTATAGAATTATGTTTAAAACAGTCAATATTGAGAATTAATCTCGCAGGTTTCACCTCCCACGCTCACTGTCAGATTGCCAGATTACTTTTCGGATTCACCACAGCAGATTGCTAACAGGTTAAGTGCAGTTGTCCATATCGTTCAAATTAAGCTGGTTTCAACCTCGTCAACAACAAAAAAATGTTGTAAATAGATTATCATATTTAATTTCTAGTTCTGTGTAATTACATTTCACTGGAGGAATAAAAAGGTTGTAATTCTGTTTTAAACAGTTTTTCCCGTTAAGTCCAGCCTGCATAGGAAACCGTTGGGTAAATTAGCTTTAGGCTCCTCGTTTAGGCTAACTAACGGACTACATTTAAAAGCAGCGTATCCGGTCGGCACCTTCTAAATAAATAAACCATTAAGAAAATCTACTCAAACTCGCTTCACGCCAACACATTATTCAACACTTCAGAATACATTTTATTGCTTTACTTAATAGTTGGGCTCGACAGCTTGCTGGAATTATCGTGTTCGGTAACGGCCCAGTTTAACCTTCTGAATACCAAATCACGGCACTTCCGGTCTTTTTCTGGCCGTCTGCGGCTGCCTTTACGCAGCTGTAACGGTTAGCTAATCAGCCAACGGCAAGAAGAAAAATGTCCAGCTTACTCTCCAGTACTCAGTGTACCGCCATAATCCAACTGCATTGCAAAACAAGAGTATAATATATAACTATACTGTTTATATTGCCAAACAGACGACAGCGTCAGGAGACGTTTGTCAACTTATTACAGCTTATTTCACCACAAATCAGCGATGCGGTTAAGTCACTCACCCGAGTACCCCTGGGCTGTACTCCCTCGTCTTCCAGGGCGTGCAAGTGCTCGCATAATTGCCATTAGTGCAGTTAGAAATCGAATAATTCATCCCATAAGTGCTCGCCTTGTTGTCACTTTTCCTTCGGCCCGGGTGGTGACTGTGTGGTTGATTAATAGGTACAGAGGGGTGAACCTGATGCTGGTTCACGCAAATCTGCTGTAACTTGAAAGCCTGGTGCTCCTGCGGGTGACGGTGATGGTAAAGGTTGACATTATTGTCCATGCTGTCTCTCAAGTTGAAGAGCAGGTTGGCACCCCCGACGTTATTATTAATACTCCCCGTAACATTTCTATCCATAGTCCTCTCGAGTGAGCAGCTGGAGGGGGGACTGTCCGTCCCGGATTCCTGCGAAGACGAGGCAGATCCCGTTTTATGGGACGCAGTTTTCCCCTCACCTGGCTCGCTGATGTTCGACGGGGTTAAAGAGTTGTGTACGTTCCTGTTGGACAGTGCTCTCCCCAGCGGAGGAATCGCATTGCCGTTACCGCTACTACTGTGTGCAGCGCCGTTCGTGATGCTACGATGGCTGCTGCCGTTGCTCAGGCTTCCTGTAACGTTACCGTTGCTGCTGCAGATGCTCTTGCTCGAAGCCACGGCGGTCGCCACATTTTTTAAAACCGCGTAATTCACACACTGGTTGTGGTTTTGATTGTGGAGCTGCTGCTGAGCGGAGAGAGTCCGTACTCCCTGAGAGGTCTCCCAGACGTGCATCCATAAGGCGTTCGCAGGTCCTTTCTGTTCGGGCTGAATCCAAGCTACCCTCGGATCCATTCAACTTCTTTCTCTGGTAACCCCCCCGACAAGTCCCTAACACTTCCGAGCCCGTGATGAACCTGCGCCGCTTCTCGGACCTTTCAAAGGTCGCTACGCTGTCCGGGGTTACGAGAACAGACACGTTTGAACATTAAACCGAATTAGGACCATTGATAAAGTGGCCCCCTTTTACACCGCTAGCTCGAAAATTTGCTAGCCGATTCCTACGGGAATTCAATATGGCGTATGCTCTTCAAAATCCACACGCATGCGTCCTACCAGGGATTTCTTAAATGATTACTGCGCCCCCCCCATCCGCCCACTCCTTTATCGCTCCTCAGCCGGGAGACTGATGATTTGCAGGGAATAAATATTAGAATTTTTATTTGATAAATAATTCACTGGACAACAAATGAGGTACACGGTAAACGTCGATAATGAATAAAATGACCTGGGGTCTTTCTATTTTTTATTTTTTAAATAAAGCAGGTCCTGGCAGTCCGCAGATCCTTGTGCGCTCAGTTTCAACTTCCCCGCTTTCACCAGTGGGTGGAGGAATGGATGGGTGGGTTCAGAGGGGATCCCCATCAACACGAGGCCGGACAGAAGCTTATTGTTGCACAAATGATTGACTATTAACGTCCTGGACACGAATGCATGTCTTGAAATATTCACGGATTAAAGAGAAATCAGATATATAGATTTCCCCAATTTATATGTTATATACTCATTAGACTAGAGTTCGGGGACATTAACAGATTTGGCCCTGCAGAATAGCTGACCTTTTCCGTGGGTGATCTAGCTATGGATCCGCAGCTTCCTCTGAAAGACAAAAACTGGAACCATGTAACTTTTAAGGAAAGTATAATTTACTTCAAAAGAAGATCAGGCCATGAGACTGTCGGCATCCCAAACACTTGCTCGAGGCCACAAACTCTGGCCCTTGAAATGCTGCTCACATACACACAGCAGTAAGCCTACACTGCAGTGCAAACACAGACTGTATATAAGGACATAGAGGCTTTTCATACGATCTAAGTACAACAACACAGTAACATGGGCCTCCTTTTCCCCCGTTTATTATTTCAGATGCACACTGCGGACCTGGATTCCAAATGTTCATTTTGAAGTGAAGCACAGCAGGTGGTGTTCATCATCCCAGTATCTCAGTACTGCCCAGGCCCCACCGGTAACAGCAATTTCCCAAGCCATTAAACACTACGGTGAAGGAGTGGCAGGCAGAATAACCAGCACCTTCTGGGATGTGTATGTATTTCTTTTTAAAGAGTATCTTGCATAATGCCTGCCCCCAACCTCTGCTACTCACGTGCAGCATGTGACATAGCCAAAGAAACTCCCCCCTAGAGCAAACTATGTGTCGGCTAGGATATGCAGCTCGCCATAAAACACACTCGGGCACACACACAGATGCTTACTCCCACTGTACGCCTGCAGAAAGCCAATCTCTTCTTCCTATCTTTTCCATTTTACACTGCATGAAACACGGGCACTGACAAAGCACACTGAATAGGTTATTCCTCTCATCTCTCATGTCACGGACTCAGCTCGAGCCGAGCGCCGACACCGACTATGTCTCAGCGTGCGTGTCGTTTCAAGGCTGGTTTGCCTCATTGTCAGCTTTTATGGGATTACAACATTGGTGACGACTGGACCGTAGCTGACAGACACCTAAAAGATGCACACGAACACACACACGCACAGAAACAACAACACAGGAGAAGCTGGAGAAGCCACTAATATGCTCACAGGCATAACAGTAATAGGAGATAATATTAAGGAAGCAGGCAGTTGTCTGAGGCTGCATGTGGCTTGAATAGTAATGAGGCTGCAGTATGTTCCAGATATTTAACCCACATTAGTGGGAAGCTGCGCTTACAATGTCAGCAGCCATTACACTGTTTCTACATGTGAGCATATTGCCTGTGGTGCGTTGCCCCCACTGTGCAGTTAGGTACAGTAATAACAAGGACATCATTAGAATGAACCCACTGATTATCATCTAACCGCAGAGCAGGTTCAAAACTGCAAATCTGGGCCATCGACTTTATATGCAGTCTGTGGTCTGAACCTACAGTCCAAACTGTACCACCTGAATGCTAGATGGGGGGGTTAAAAGAGTTTAAACCTAGGAGGTGTAGGTGTGTTAATATGCGCCATCTACAGGTAAAGAGAACATCTTCAAACTGCTGTCCATCGCCTGCATTCTGGGTGCAAAGGAGGGATCCTGCACCATTTACAAAATCATAACCAAGGGATTTTAAGACCTCAGTAAACACAAAGGAAGAGCAAGAGATCATACTGATAGTTATGACAGGGCAGAAATCAGTGCAACACCAAGTACGCTGTTTTTCTTCATGCATGACAATAAACTGAATATTTCTGTTAAAGTTAATGTTAAACAATTTGACATAAAACAGAAACTTTATATATTATAAAGTTCACCTGCACTGTTACACAGAAATTTTACACGGAACCTGAGACTAGGACTTCATGTTTCCTTTAATTTCAGACTTTTTGAGATAATATTTTGTACAAAGTCTAGTCCTATCCATGGGAGGCAAGACTGGAGCCATAAATACACAAATAAATAACTAAAGCAGCTATCACATTACCGGCTGGCTTAGGACTCCATGTTGCCATGTTGGTTTTCCCCCTTTTATAGCCAGCAGTGGCCATATTTGAAGAAGAGGGTGGATCGCTAACTTATCAACTGGACTTGACTGTTTTGAACCCTTCGTCATTTTCACTGTTGCTTCCAATGGCCACTCATACAATAAATGGCCTGTATTTGTATAGCGCTTTACACGTTCAGTCATCCACACATTCACACACTGGTGATGGCAAGCTACATTGTAGCCACAGCCACCCTGGGGTGCACTGACAGAGGCGACAAAAGTGACTTGTCAATCACAAGGTTGATCCAGTCATAAACATTTCATGCTTTATCCTTATTTCCCTCTTATTGGGTCCACAGTTTACAAAACGAACATCTTATTGTTTTCAATAAATCTTGAAAGTAGATTTCCAGGCTGGCTTTACTTTTCACATCGGAAAGCGGTGTCCATCTTTTATATACAGTCTATGGCTTGCAAGACGGGCAGAACATGCAGCAGTGGCTTGTTATTTTACTTTCCTACCACAGACGTGTGTTTGTTCGCATGCAGCGGTCTTAAAGGCTGAAGGTTGTTAATGCTGCTTAGTTGTTGCTTTTCCACGTTACATTAAATTATATAGCATGCGTATATTAAATATTACTTGTATCCAGGGCCTGTGTGTCTAAGTTTGGGACCAACAAGCCATTACACAGTGCATGAAGATGAATGGTATTACAGGCAAATGGCACACTCAGTTGTAAATAGTGTCTGTGTAATATAGTGATGCAATTACAAGGAGCCCAGACAGAGGATGCACAACTAGAAAAAAAAAAAAAAACACCCTGGAAAAAAGAGAGAGAAGGTGGGGGCATGAAGGACGTCTCTCTGCAAAGCAGCCATCATTTATCATCACACTCAGACGCAGCAGTCAAAGTATTTATTGGTGACAAAGTGTAAAAATCCCTTTATCAAATTCCTAAAGACATGACCTCAGTTGTGACAGGAAAAGGACTTCATCAGGAAATGAGTGCGCAAACTTTAAAGGTAACTGCACTTCTTTTGAATAAAAGTCATTTTTAAAACCCACCCAAAAAAAAGGGCACCTGAGTACCAACAAACCATGACATGATTTAAGAAAAGTCTTAACTTACACTGACAAGATTATGACTCACAGTAAAAAAAATGAAACCGTAATGGAGCGAAAGAGACAAGTCCAATATTTCCTGTTCCTGTCTTTACTTCCAGTTTTTCTCCGTCCCTTCAAAAACACATCTGGCACAGCTTTATTCATTCAGCACGCGTTGTCCTCCTGCTTTCACCAGGCCAATATTTTTCTCTAATTTCTTCTCCACTTCTTCACCATCTCCCTGAGAAACTCCCAGCATGGGGCATGTTTTGGGGCAACTCTTATTTTCTAATTTCAGGCATGGGTGACTTATTGACGCCTGTGCTTGATCTTCATTCTCTGTCCCCGCAGTCCATGAGTGGGGGACAGGCCTGATGCAAGTCTCAGTCTTTTTTTTATTTTTTATTTTTTTACTTTGTACATTTTCCCAACTTTGTAGTACATGCAAACAAAAAATACGAAAAAGGAACACAAAAGAAACAAACTAAAAGGAATAAAGCGCACCTAATCTGTGGGGTGAAGAAAACAAAGAATAATTATACACATATGTATAGAGAAGTACTGTCTTATCAATCCCATCCCAAAAACACCATCCACCCAGCCTCTTACATCCATATGAAGGCTGCCAGACAGGGCCCGAAGTCTGGTCCTCTCCCCGACAGGTCCAGTTCCATTCACAATCATAACATATTTGAACCTGGAGCAGGTATTAGCAGGACCCCATTCTCTCAGGGCCCGGCCGTCCGCCTGCCTATGCCTCAAAGGACCAAGAACCAAAAGCTATTTGAATTAAGAAAAAAAAAAAGAAAACTCCAACAAGGAGAGGTCCCTGCCTTATGGGGTTATAGGCTATCCATTTTGTCCACAGTTTATCAGATTTCAGTCTCAAAGTGTAGGTCATCTCTATCTCTAGAGATCTATCTATATCTATCCTCAATTACATCAGTCCATTCTTCCAATTTTAAAGGGTCACTTTTCAGCCAGTTTTTTGTTATTATCTTTTTGCTTGACACCAACATAATTTTAAACAAGTAATGGTCCTCCTTTCTTACATTTTCCCATATTCCAAAATACAATACTCGTGCCTCACATGACATGCTTTCCCAGTAAGGTTTGCTATTTTTACACTTCCAAAACACATGAGAATGATTGGCGTCCCAGTCTCCACATAATCTCCAGCATTGTTGGGGTGTTTTCAGCTGCTTGCTTTTGATATAAGGTGTAATAAAGAACCTAATCACATTTTTCCAGCCATATTCTCTCCATCGTCTAGAGCTGGTGGAATTATGCTATGAGAGACAAACGGATCGCCAGTCACCCTCTGACATAATTCAGATTCCCACTTTTGTTTAATATATAATGTTTCATTCCTATTCTAATTTTGCAGACCAGTCTTTTTTTGAGTCCAGATATGCAGTTACATTCACAAAGTTGCTTCTCTCTCAGGATTTTGAGATGACGAGGTCAGTAGATGACACCCAGAGCAAAATCCAGTAGAAAACACGTTCTACATGATTCAGAACTCGTCTATTTGATGTGAATCGACATTAAAAAGATTTGCAACAGCTGAATCTTGAGGATAAAATGACCATTTTAAATGTCTGCTTTGCATTTCCAACTTTATGTTCCAACTGGGAGAATATGCAGAGCAGGAGGAGAGTCTTAAAGCTGTTTACTGCTGATGTAGAGTGTCATAAATCCCGTATATTACCATGGAGCTACTCCATTCACAACCTTTATTTCCTCTGGAGGAGAGCTGAATGCCGCCTCTCCTGCAAACACAACACCTCCAGCACATTCAGTCCATGCTTGTTGAGGTTCCTTGGTGCTTTGTGATGTTATTACCAACGTAACAAATGATAAAAACCTTTCTGAGATGGTGACTTTTAGCTATTGCTTCTTCACACCTAGAGTGAGCTTGTTTTCAGTGGAAAAAAATAAGCTGTGTTTAAGGTTTGTTGCAACATTAGAGAATTTCTAAATTAGGCAAATGATCACGGGAATGTTCTTCGCCGTTGCAGGAGAACACATTACCTTTCGAGGTGTCCAGTTTTCTAGAACAGAAAGGGAATCAACACCTTCCTGCTTTTAGGGTAGTCCTCAAACTTGGCAAGGTACCATCTGCAGAGCAAGAACAAAGGAACAAGAAATTTTCCTGTGTTAATTCTGAATTTTGTTTAAAATGTACAGTGTGCACACTCCAGGAAAATTGCTCCGAGTGTGAGAACGCTGCCTGTTTTTGTTCTTACTTGTGGTGGGCCACAGCTCTGCTAGCGAGGACCACTGCGGTAAAGATGGCGAAGGCTGCACTGTGAACAGAGTGACCAGCCAGAGTGAAGCCAGCCCACTCTGTTATCTCGCCCAAGAAGTTGGCCCCAGACACGTACTCGAACATGCCGCCTGTGGGTGGAAGACAGCGACATTAGAGCAGGTGGGTTTCTCCTTTGATGTGCTCACTGATGCAAAAATAACCCAAACATTTTAATGCTGAGGGAAATAAAATCCAGTGACTTCTTGCAGAATACAATTTGATACTAAGCTGAAGAAGTGGTGACATTTCCACTGCCTGTGAATCTTATTTGGAGGCAACATGCAGTTACAAAATGTAAAGGGCATTCACAGAGCTGGCTTCATACCACACATACATGGCTGAGCACTCAGTATGTGACTGCAGGCTATGCGCTCAGCAGTGCTGCTACCCTTTATGTGAAAATAGCAGATTCTTGGCTGAGGGGATTCCAGACGTGCCTGTAGGTTGATCTGGAGCAACAAAGCTTCCTCATACCTCGCCTTCTCTGCTCTATTTTCTTTAAGGTTCAGGGAAGGATTGTTTCAACATGTTCAGTGCAAGTTCAGGCTCAAGGTGCTTTTGTTGTGACTACGCTCCCAGTCAGGGGAGCCGCTCACTTTGTGAACCCGTTATGATTACAGATTTATTTAACAGAGGTAGAAGCCAACGTATGGTTTGGATTTTTCAGAGAAAACAGTTTGATTCCATGTACCCACCGTACAGCCTGTTTTGCAAAAGGAATTTGGACGTGAACCAATGCCTTGTTTACCCAACCCCCTCCTTACATGTCACATCTTATACAGTGCTCAGCCAGTTAAATGCAGTAAAAGGTCACACACACTTTAAAAAAAAACCCAAACCAAACCATAAATCCACTCATGTTTCAGTTGTTAGGTCTGTTTTAGCCAAGCTGGGGCGGGCTGCACAGCGAACTCTTCCTAAAATGGGTTTACTCATCAGAGAATGTTGATGTGTTCCATTCCCCTCCCAAAAACATCCAAACAAAAGATTTATCGACCATTTGTACGGAGAACCACCAACCATCATTTTGACACTCAGTGTTAAATGCTGCAGTCCTGACTGCCTAACAACATCAAGGCTGTATAGCATGACCCAGATCTAGCTAGATAGCTCAATATATAAGGCACGGTCGTTAGATAAAAGATTAGTAATTATCACAGGGTTTGAATGGATCTGGGATGGAATTCTGATCCAGGGTGTTGGATAACAGATGTGTGGAGAATTAGACGAGTTGCTGCCTGTGTAGAGCAGCAAGTGAACCATAGCTGAACTAAACCGAGTCGAGTCTGTAGAACAGGGGTCGGCAACCCTAGGCAGGGTTAACTGATGGCACCATAGCTGGACGGGCATACCAGGCACTTTCTGCTGTAGAAAGTAAAGAGTGAAGTCCAGATCAGAGTAGCTGAATCGGGCCTGAGGAGCTGAGGGAGGTGACGGGCTGCAGAGTGAATGGCAAAAAGCTGCAGAGTGACAAGTGAACAGTTTTCTCCTTTGCAGCCTCTTTATCGTGGTTAGTGAAGAGCCGTGCAGAATATTTTGGCTGTTGGCAACTTGGTCTGTCACAGATCAAGAGGCAACTCTGACTGAGAAACCAAAGGTCATCATATGTTCTTACATTAGGGACTTTTCAGTCACATGGTTGACCCAGCCTGAGGCATGCTCTGCATTTAAGCCTCCCTTCTAACCAACTGGGGCAGTGGTTTACAAAATGAACATATTACTTTCAAGTCTCATTGAATATAACAAGTGAAAACACCAACAGCTTGTTTCAGAAATCCCATGTGAAATGTGATTTTTTGTTTTGCTTTTGTAGTGTTGTCAACTGACCCTTCTGTGCTTAAAACACTCCAATGTTAAAAATGTAAACAAATACTATAAATACATCAATCTGAAAGCACATTAGTCTCAAATAACATGAACACTTCATAAAGATGAATTATGTACACAGCCTGAATACTGAATAAGTGAGGGTTTCACATTTACACACATCTTCCACTGTACGCCTGGCTAACTGTCTAACAATTACTGTCAACTCTGTGTGGTTTAAAAGATTTCCATGTTTGTGTCAGTGAAAGCAAACACACTAAAAGTCCTACAAGTTGGACCGTATTAGAGGATGTGCAGCAAGAGCTGTTTATACAGTAATGTAAGGGCTCACAGAGGCCCAGGCAAAGACAGCTAGTGACAACCTGTGATTCTGCTTAGTGTGATCTGTATAATCATGAGACCACACTGGAAAATTAGCATCTAGCACACAGAGACCGCAGCGTCGAGGGCCATTATGTGATTGCAGGTTTTGTGACTTCCTTCTCACTCATCACGTGCGCTGCAACAAAAACATTCAGAGTCTAAACCTAAGAATAAGTAGCGCCACAATGTAAAAACGGCACCGTTTACAAGGAAGGACTGTATCCTAAAATTGAAGAAGGCCCTGTCTCAGAATTTCATGAAAGTATTTTATGCTTATTTCGAGCTGTATACTTTTATTTTTGGAATTTGCTAGAATAGCTTTATTGGAAACCATGCTTATTTATTTTATACTAATCTTAGCATGGCCCCTCAGTTACTCCTCTGCCTGAAACTATGTTTCACAAATACGTAATCGATTTGATCAGTTTCCCCCTCTACATTCTGTATGCATATGCCAGTTTTTACATGCATAAACAACATATAAAAGGTAAACTTGATGTGACAGTGTTCCGAGTTAAGCTCTTAAATAAATAAATAAATAAATAAATAAATAAATAAATAATGTTTACCAGCACAATCAATGTACAGTTCGCCCAGGACTGAGAGAAATTACATTGCCCCATTCTTTATAGCTTACTTTACAGAGTACAATGAAAACCTAATGAAATGATTTCATTATATATTGTTTTCTTTCGTCGTTTACTGATCAAATTACTAACAAAAATGTTGCATTGCTTACTTTAGGTTGAGTATGCAAAAACTTAAATAAGACTACACTTACAGAAATGATTTATCCTTAATTACTGGACACCTGCTGTTGAATTTATTTCTGAACAGAAAATGAAATAGTCTAAATCAAAGGTGTCAAACATTAGGCCTGGGGCCCAGAATCAGCCCGGCACAGACTCCAATTAGGCCCAATGGACAGTTTTGGACAATATGAAGGAGTGCACACATTTTGAACTGTATTTTCATTTTTTTTTCTCCCCCTCAACACAGACGCTACACTTTTTTGGTTGTTTTTTAACAACAAGTCCACAATTTTTAAAAGGCTATTTTATTGCGAATTAACAAAACTTTCTGCTGTACAATTACAGGACAGTCTGGGTGACAAACTTTATGTAATTTTAAACATTTATGTCTTACAGCTTAAACTGAGCTTGAGTAGTGCTGACAGATTATTTCTTCAACACAGCAGCATTTCTAGAACAGGTAGAAGAACTGAGACAACCTTGAAACGACACCACTTTTTCCTATGAAGTTATCTCAGGGACAAAATGTGTACCTAAACTCCTTTACGCTGACAGAAAGAGTTTCACTGGTTTGACCCACTGGAGATTAAAATGAGTTTAAAATCCCAAGTCTAAATAAAATGTCAGAGTCTGACTGAAGCTCTTACCTTTGGGAACCTTGTAACCAGTCTCTCCGGGCTTTCTCAGGTTCCTAAGGATGTGGTCAGATTGTACATTTATAAACCAGCCGACGAACCACAGTACCGAGCCTGGAGACAAAAGCAAAAGCTGTTTCAGCAAGTGACTGTACTGACAAAAAGCCAGAGAGCAAAACTTTGCGTTTCTTTTTCTTTTAGCATTTCCACATTTTGATGAATACTCCTGGTTTCCTTCCGAAAGCAAACTTAAAATATCATATTTTAAGTTTTCCTGCTAATTCAACTTAGGGTCACATACAGACTCGATATTTTCCCAGTTGTAACAGGACAAAAGGGAAGGTTTTAAAAGAAGAAAGAAAAGAAAAACTGCGTTGAGAAACTGTTGTTATAAATAAAATACATATATACATACATGATGCTTTAGACAATGTGCACAAATTGGCGAACGTATTAAACTGTGTAATCACTGTCATCTGTGAGGTACAGCTCTCCAAATATTCACCCACATCTATCATTTCCTGACTTTTCAAAAATAGCTCACACTCCGGCTGTGGTTCTCAGACAGAAAGAGGGCAAAGTGCCCACAACAGGTCACTTTGTTGTGGGCAAAGTGTACCTTTGTAACCTTGTATCTCTGAGTCTCGTTGATGAGTTGATGACTGAACCTGGGGTTATTTGGCATGCAGCCACCCCACTGACAAATCTGATAATTCTACCTTTCAAAAACCTTTATGTGTGTACAAACACCAACAACTATACATAACATCTTTCTCACTCACTTAGAAAAACTCAAATACATGTGGACGAATCACCTGATACCCACAGATCACATAGAATGCCCACATGGGCAATCAACATGTAAAACTAGAACATCTGGGCTTCCAGTGTATACCGAAACAGAACAGCTCGTAACCATTCTACTAGATAACACAGATTTTTTTTTTTGGCTCAGTAATGCCTCCAGTCTTCCCAGATGAGCTGGAGGAAGGGGTGAGTGAGGTCTTAGCTCGTCTGCTTAGGCTGCTGCCTCCATGACCCGGATAAGCAGCAGAAAATGGGTGGATAGATACATGGCTGGACTTATCCCAGATATACTGCCACATGTGTATATGTTGCTTTATATGGGTTTTTGAAAACTGTCCAGCAGATGCCCTGCTGGACAGTTTTCAGCACAGCACAGTGCATGTAGAGGACTATGCAATCAGCAGAGCCTCACCTTCCCCTACTTAAAACTGATACTATGTAATCCAAATGATGCAGTCTACAGCGTGGTTATTTTTTAATTGCACAAGAGGATGAGAGTGCAATTGTAAAGTGGAAACTACATCCAGGACGCTTGGCTAGCCAAGAACCACAGTGAAAGCTGAGTGAATGCCGACGCCAGCCCATCAACCAGACCTTGAACTTCAACCGGTAACAAACTGATGAGCAGTCAGGCTGCAGTCGCTGTTTCTACAGTAAAATCACAGTGGAGATCGCTTTTAAGTCGCCGTGTTGGTTTTTATCTTTGTTTTGTGCAATACCAAGGACAAAAACCCCTGTCATTAGGACAAAAACCCCTGTCATTAGGACAGGGGTTTTTGTCGGTATGTGAAACTATAGCTTACAGGTTTATATTGTTAAATGGTAATTATGAAACAATGTGTTACGGGTCATTTTACAGAGTAACATGAAAGTAATGTAACAAGTAGGATAACAAATCATCTTGAGTGCGCATGCGTCAACCATGCATGCAGCCTGTTATAGTTGCTCCTGTCTTTTCTCTTTAGTTTAACTTTTTTTCTTATTTATTTCTATGTCCTTTACTTTTTACTTAAATACAGAATTTTCCTTGGGGATTAATAAAGTATTCTGATTCTGCTTCAGACAAATTACTGAATCCTGGGAGTAATTAATCAACGTACTGCATTACTTTTAAGAAATGTTTTATTTGTAATATGTGTGATAATTATTTTTTTAGAGTAACGACCCCAACACTGATCACAACAAAGAGGGGGAAATACCTCCAACATGGACAAACATTTGACCAGACAACATGCAATTAATTTGCATGACTTTAATGTCTTTGATATGCTGCTTAGCGATGGGGGTGATTCTCAAGGAAGATCCAGAGTTTCTGTCTGATTTCTCAGACTTTTTATCTGATTTAGTTCTCAGCTCAGATAAAATAATTATTGTGGGTGATGAAGCGCCTTGAGGCGACTTATGTTGTGATTTGGCGCTATATAAATAAAATTGAATTGAATTGAATTGAATCCAGTGAGAATCGGTAAGAGAATGAATAAGGGATGGAATTGATAAGTGATATGGATATTAGCTCAATTCTTATCAATTCCCATCCCTATGTACACTTATAAAATACTAATTACACTCAGTACAACATTTTAACTTCTGCACACAACAAAATAATTCACATTCCTGTTGCAAACAGTCAGGGAACAGGACACCTACCAATGAGGAAGCATGGATGTGTAACCCAGTATGCTGGGTACTCAGCATAATGGCTCAGGTACCTGATCTGCATGAAGCCATTATAGCAGCAGAACACAAAGGCCAGAGCGAATGAAGCGAACGGTGTCGGTTTCCCTCCTCTGATTAAAAATGGATAAATGCAGGCTCTGCAGAAGAAGAAGAAAAAACACAACAAGAACACATTATTTTGAGTAATGACATGTTTATACTGAAATGTATTCATCTGTGCACATTTTGACATCTCCTGTATCTGAGTTGCATAATCAATCAGGCGTTTCTTTGCCCAGTTGAAGGGGTACTTAAGCACTGCTCCTTGCGCAAGCCTGCTTATAACACTGTATAAATAAATAAACGTGACTGCCCACGGTTGCTTACCTCTGGACATAGTGAAGGAAATACATGGCAATGAGGAGCTGATTAGGTAGTAAAGACGTCTTGGAAGAAGATGTCCAGAGTAGCAGACACATAGGGAGCAGTAAAGCTGGCAGCTCCTGGACGAACCAGGCGAACCTGGCGTTAACTGGAAATCCATACTTGCTTGTAGCATACCGCCCGTAAGGAACATTTTCAAACAGCAAAGTAATAAAAGTGCAGGCTGCCATTAAAAACATGAAGTAAGCCATGCGGTCCAACATGTACAGCTCCTCTTCCTCCGAGGAGAAGAGCATGGAGAGGAGAGTATCCATTTCGACCTGAGGGCTAATATTTAAAACTAAAACGTTCGCAATTAGCTAACTATACATACCGGTTATTCCCTAGCTTGCAGACAAGAGCCTGGACAGCGCATACGCTCGCGACCGATTCGGACCAATTAAGAGTTCTTGAACGATTACGCAACCGATCCTTTCAGCCAATGAAAGCGCTCTGTCTTTGCATCAGCATGTTAGATTGGATCCGATAGGTTTCTGAGTTCATAAAGTCGTCAGACTAAACTCGCGAGATCATAACCCAGCCGGAGAGCCGGCTGTTCGTGTATGAAAATGCTTATAAAAAGTCCAATCGGGGAAAAGTCATTTAACCTTCTCCTCATCCCCTACTTGCCAAATTTATACATTAACATTTATATCGACTGCTTTGTACAAAACTCAGCTCGGTTAAACATCTCTCGGTTTAACATACGCAAATTGTTGCTGCAGTTTATTGTTGTAATCACAGCAATTCCCAGATGAGGTTGCCTATTTAACCCATCTCTTGGGTAATAACTTTCTGCTGGGTTAATGTGACGTTGTGTTATTTACTTCAAGCCAGGGTTATGCTACAGTTTTATATTTTCCTTCTTTCCAGGCTGCCACTACTGTTCAGTTTTAATGACAAATGGTTAGTCGATCTTTCTTAATGACTCTTTCTCAAAATTGAACTATAATGTGGAGTAATGTGGAAAATAGCAACTTGTACGGTCACTTTAATACTGTTATATAAAACATTGTTTTTACTTTTCATTGCTGTTAACATATAAACACACACAAAAAGAGACAAAGAATGTTTCATATAGAATACAAGCATTTTCAGTTCATCAATATTTTTCACAAAGAGTGGCTGTGTTTTCACTCATGTTTACACACTTACTACATTTTAAAATTAACATGAAGTGTTAAACTTGGGGACATGGCCATCATCTTCACCAACCAGCAGGCGAAGATTATGGAAAGTGTGAGAGAAGAAAGGCCAAAGGACCAAACGATATCACAACAATAATAGTAACAGATTTGTGTCTGTTATGTGTCTGCATATCTAAGATGATAAGATGTCAGCGGTTAAAGTATATTATGCAGCCCCCTATAGGCCAAAAAGAATTCCTAACATATGTTTGGCAAACTGCTTGTATAGTGCTTCATGCTGTCGGCCATGAAGTTATAATGAAACAATGCTTTCATAAGATGTAGGTGGCTTAATGCAAAAAATGGGTCATTGCTAGGTGGTTGCTAGGCAATGATATTATACAGCGTTTGTCCATATAAATTACATGTTATTGTTATGGAAATAAAAGAATAGGATGCTTTCATAGGGGGTTGTTGGTGGATAAAAAAAGAAAGAAAAGAAAAACAGATCATTTTACCTCTTTGCTTGCTGGTTGCCATGCAACGTGAAGATAATATATTTAACTAGTGTTTTGTGTGTATAAAATTGCTGTGATGAAATAAAAAAGATGCAACATTTTAAGGTGCAAACAGTGCATAATTGCTAAAATAGGTCAATTTAACGGGTTGTTGGGTGGTTACTAGGCAGTATGATGATTCATAATATAGGACCTTTAAGGGACCCGTTTGGTTGATCAACTCCTGATCGTGTAGGATCACTGGTTATTATTATTTATTTATTTATTTATTTTTAAAACAGAAATTTGATGAAGTAGGATTAATATAACATTCAGGGCCAAATAACGAACACATGTATGTTAAGGGAGTCTTTGTTATTTTCATAGACAATGATTTGCATAAAATCCCACAATGGCACATATTACGATTATATTTTTTTTTAAAAAACGAGTTGGGACACTTTTTAAATAATGTGTAAAAAAGTGAAGTTTGTGATTTCGACAATAAATATTAGTTATTTAATTTGCACAACTTTAATGGCATTAATTTAGGAAAACATACATTTATACAAATTCGGTCATCGTCATTCAAGCTGGAATGTATATAGTAAACAAGAAATTAGAACAATGTCTTTTATATAATTCAATTTTTATGGTTGCAAAGTTTCACGTAAACAATTTAAACTTTATTTTTGTAATAATAATATTTCAGAAAAGTGCAGACCGGCTCGTTGAAGCGTTTCTGCTTTCTTTCAGGCAGAGTTTGCGGCCACCTCAAGGGGTCCTCATTCACGTGCGTCAGAGCAGCACGTTCCGTGGATACACAGCCTGTCCATCATCAGGCGCCTTGCACGTTTACACTTTAGCTGAGCAACAGCTCTGTTTTGCTCGCGTCCAGTCACCACGTTGTTCCGCAGACTTTTCTCCAGAGTTGTCTGCTATTCCAACATGGGGAAAAGAAGCAGACAGCGGCAGAAAAACCAGAATGCTGGCAGGGACAACAGAGACACCGCTGTAAGTAAAACTCCTGCTCCAGACAAACTAGCTAGTGTTTGTGTTTAGCCACGCCACACATGAACGTTTAAATAAAGTAACTGCAGAAAGGAAGCGACTGCAGGGATAATTTATATCTGTTACCTTTACTGAAAGTAGCAGATATAAACTGCTGCTGGTTACCGTGCTGTTTTCAAAGCCATGTGTGACCACCATTTTCCTTTCCCCCCCCTTTTGAACAAAGATCTGTATATCTTTATATATGTGAACAGCTTGTTGTACTATAGGCCAAATTCAGCACGACACCACAGTTAAATGTAACAGATCGTATGGTATGTTGTTCAGGCTGTTACTCATAATTATAAGCAAGTAAAGTTTAAATTTGATTTTATCAAACGACATTCAGTGTAGCAATTTTGTCTCCTGTTAGTTTGCATGAACATATTTGTTTGTCCCAGGGTTGGGGAGCTGGGTATGCTGACATTATCAAGGAGAACAAGCTGTTTGAGAACTACTATAAGGAGCTAGGTCTGGTACCTGAGGGGGAGTTTGAACAGTTCATGGAAGCAATGAGGGAACCTCTGCCAGCAACCATCCGCATCACTGGATACAAGAGGTGAGCTGGACAGATCTACAACTTGGGCTCATGCTTAACGCCATGTAGGAGGTTGTCATTGGAGCGTATGTGCCCCTTTGTAGGTTGTTCTGAACTTTTTCATGGAAATTCCACTTTTAATTACAAGGTGAAAATGCTTAATCATTAATTACATTCATAAGGAGAAATATTAGATCCCTAATGTAAATGCTACTAATTTCCTTTTCCAGCCATGCCAAGGAGATCCTTCATTGTCTGAAGGAAAAATATTTCAAGGATATTCAGGAGCTGGAAATCGATGGTCAGAAGATCGAAGCTCCGCAGCCTCTCAGCTGGTAATATATCATGTTTTCCCCAAGACTAAAAAGATGCACTGATTCAAATTAAAACCAGATTGTGGACTGTCCTCTTCAGGTACCCTGATGAGCAGGCCTGGCACACCAACATGAGCAGGAAGATCATAAGGAAGTCTCCCCTGCTGGAGAAGTTCCACCAGTTTTTGGTCAGCGAGACCGAGTCGGTGAGTCAGTCACAATCCCAAAGATCACATTTGTGTTACCAGTGGAAGGGGGTTAAAAAACCCCAAAACATGTCAGGAAGTTGGTAAAGAAGTGGAGAGACTGACATTCCTTTTGTTTGTCCTCGCAGGGCAACATCAGCCGACAAGAAGCTGTCAGCATGATCCCTCCTCTACTTCTGAAGATTGAGCCCCATCACAAGGTAAAAGCACAGTTTTATTATACTTAATGCAATTGAACTTTTTCTCTGTTTTAAACTCGTGTGCAAACTTACCCTCTGTGCTGGTGAGGGGTGTGTGCATAAATCAGATGAACATGGTTTCATAAATAAAATCTTAGGCCCTTATGAGTTTAGAATAATCCTTTAATTAATTGTCCCACAAGGGGAAATTTGGTTGTAACAGCAGCCAAAAAGACACATATACAAACAAACACTACACAGGACACGGAACAGAAACATACACAATTTTTCTTACATATTTACATCAAGGACAGTGGTTACTATATACAATTATATATAAATTAAATAAAAATAACTACAGATAAGAGGCAAAGCAGGTTGTAGTGCGAATCAGTTAATTAACTTATTGCAGTTACAGCGCAGATGTAAACATCTGTGTTTGTTGGGAGCAGTTCTGATTGTACAGTCTGACAGCTGCAGGGAGGAAGGACCTGCAGAAACGCTCCTTCATGCATCGAGGATGCAGCAGTCTGTCACTGAAGCAGCTCTGCAGTTCAGCAACATTTACATGCATGGGGTGGGAGACTCTGTCCATCAGAGATGTTATTTTGGCCAGAGTCCTTCTGTCTCCCACCACCTGCACTGGGTCTAGGGTGCATCCCAGAACAGAGCTGGCCTTCCTGATGAGTTTGTCCAACCTCTTCCTCTCAGCCGCTGATAAACTGCTGCTCCAACATACAACACTGTAAAAAAATGACAGATGCCACCACAGAGTCATAGAAGGTCTTTAAAAGCGCTCCCTGGACTCCAAATGACCTCAGCAGGTAGAGTCTGCTCTGACCCTTCCTGTAAAGAGCATCAGTGTTGTGGCTCCAGTCCAGTTTATTATTCAGGTGAACACCCAGGTACCTATACGAGTCCACTATCTCAATGTCCACTCCCTGGATGTTCACCACTGTCAGTGTGGTGGGTCTGCGTCTCCGGAAGTCCACCACCAACTCCTTGGTTTTCCCGGCGTTGATCAGCAGGTGGTTCTGCTGACACCAGTCGACAAAGTCCAGAGTCCACTGTCTGTGCTCTGAGTCGTCCTCACCTGTGATGAGGTGACTATGGCAGAGTCGTCAGAGAACTTCTGTAGGTGGCAGCGTGGGGAGTGGATGGAGAAGTCTGCAGTGTAGAGGGTGAAGAGGAACGGTGCCAGCACAGTTCCCTGTGGGGCCCCCGTACTGCAGACCAGCGTGTCAGAGACACAGCCCTGTGTCCTCACATACTGTGGACGTTCTGTGAGGTAGTCCAGTATCCACTGGAACATGTGGTGGTCCACTCCCGATAGCTCCAGCTTGTCTCTCAGAAGTCGTGGCTGGATGGTGTTGAAAGCACTGGAGAAATCAAAGAACATGATCCTCACAGTGCTTCCAGGCTTCTCCAGGTGAGTCAGAGCTCGGTGGAGGAGATAGATGATGGCGTCCTCCACCCCATGCCAGGCTGGTAAGCAAACTGCAGTGGATCCAATGAAGACCTCACCAGGGGGCGCAGATGGTTTAGAACCAACCTCTCGAGGGTCTTCATCAGATGCGATGTCAGGGCTACCGGCCTGTAGCTGCTGAGGTCCTTGGGATGGGAGGTCTTTGGTATCGGTACCACACAGGAGGTCTTCCACAGCTGTGGTACTTTCCCCAGTGACAGGCTCAGGTTGAACTGATATCCTAGGATGCCACACAGTTCATCTGCGCAACATCTCAGGAGCCTGGAGCTGACGCCATCTGGACCTGCAGCCTTCTGCACCTTGATCTTGCGAAGCTCGTTCCTCACTTGAAGTGCTGAGATAGAAAGAGTGGATTTTGGGGGAGGGGTGTGTATGTTGGAGTCCACAGAAGCCGGGGGTGTGTGTGATGGCTGGGAGGTGAGAGGTGTGAAGTCCTGAGATGAAGGACAGAGTTTATTCCCGACAAATATTTTATATCCCAGTTAATTTGTGTTACGATAACTGCAACATAGTTAGCTATTTCTCATCCTCAGTCAGATCGAGCTGTTCTGTCCTTGTTCCACAGTCTCGATTAGCTCAGCGTGTCGGCACACGAACCAGTTCTCCACCCACTCCGGGTTCTGGTTACATTGGTCCTCTTGCTCACAGGGGATCTCCAGAGTAGAAGGCTGACTGTTACCAGCAGAAAAGCAAGACAACTGAGTTGGAGTCGGTTCCTCTGTGGGACGAGGCAGCTGAAGTCTGTGTTGAGTTCTGCCACAAAAGCAGTTTTGCTAGGGAGCCAGTCAGATGGGAAAACACAGGACAGGAACAACTGATTAGCAGAGACTACACTCTGCCAAATGTCCTTCAGCGACCGTGAACTTATTGTCCTCCCACAGGAGTCTGTGTTGGTAACAATAAAGTGGCATCAAAGTTTAAAAAGAGTTTCTATGCAGATCCTGGACATGTGTGCAGCTCCAGGGTCGAAGACAGCCCAGCTGATCGAGATGCTTCATGCTGACATGGATGTGCCGTTTCCAGGTAGGAAAACTGGAAGAAATCCATGTTTTGTGTCTTTAAATTGCAAAAAAAAAAAACAAGCTTCTCTTGCATTAATAGTGTATATAAGTTTAAACCTGATCTCCACCTTTCAGAGGGCTTTGTCATTGCAAATGACGTGGACAATAAGCGGTGCTACTTGCTCGTGCACCAAGCCAAGCGGCTCAACAGCCCCTGTATCATGGTGGTGAACCACGACGCCTCCTGCATCCCCACCCTGGAGATCAACTCCAATGGCAAGAAGGACGTCCTCTTCTATGACCGCATCCTGTGTGATGTGCCCTGCAGGTCAGCAGACGTATCCGCTACATGTCTGCATCGCTCATGCAGAGAGTTGGGGTTATGAAGCTGCTAAAACAGTGAATGATCAGTAAGCTCTGATTTATGTGTGGGTGTTTGACAGGAAAGCAGATTTTATGAGGCAGATGTAGATGACGTACCACACTCTCCATCAAATGCACCGTCCTCATACGTTGCTGTTAGTGTCTTTGCGACCTTCAGGTTTCAGTAGGGTGGTAAAACATTTGTCCACATCTTTCATCTCCTGAAATTTAGCATCATTTTGTGGCCAAAGCAGAACTGCCCCGGTTTGCAAATGCTGCCTGAGTTTGGGCAGCTGTAGTGCTGAAGCCAGGAGTCTCCTGCCAAAGACAACATAGGGAGGGGAGAGGCGTGGAGGGGAGGAAAAGCAGTAATGAAGACAGAAGCAGACAGTTTGTGCTTCGCAGACATTTTATTTGCCCCATGACAAGTTGAAAAAAGGCTCCGTGGAGGTTTCATCGCCTCGGGCCAAGACGAGGTGGGTGTTCTGACTGTTGCTGCTCTGTGCTCTGCAGTGGGGATGGCACCATGAGGAAGAACATAGACGTGTGGAAGAAATGGACGACCAGCAACAGCCTGCATCTCCACGGGTGAGTGGAGGAGAGTGCGCGCTCACACCTAAGCTACAACACAGGAATGCAGTCGTGTGGTACACCAAATTGACTAAACAGCAAGGGAATGGAGTGTGTCGCTTTTGGTCTTAATTTAAAACGTTGGCAGGATTACAGAGCGCACACGTGTGTTTTCACCAGGCTCCAGCTGCGTATCGCTGTGCGTGGTGTGGAACAGCTGGCTGTGGGAGGGAGGATGGTGTACTCCACCTGTTCACTCAACCCCATAGAGGACGAGGCTGTCATAGCAGCACTGCTGGAGAAAAGCGAAGGTAACAAACACACATTCTGGGTCACACAGTAAGAGGTCAGCATTCATATTAATGTTTTAGCTGTTTCATGCTTCTTACTTTGAACTCCTGTTGCTGTGGAGCAGGGTTTGATAATAAAACAATGGCCTCATTTACTAATATTTGTGTGGAATCGTTCTTACTGTGGACAAAAAATGAGTTCGTGCACAAAATTTGAGTCGATATGAAACAACAACCTTGTGGATCTTCATACAATTTGCGTACTAAGGAAACACGTTTACATCCAGGTGAAGAAGAGAAATTGGTGATGATATAATTTGGGTGGATCCAGACATTTGTTTACACACTTTTAGTAAATGAGGCTCAATGACTTGTACTTAGGTTTGTGACAGAAAAATTGACAAATATTCATCGTAAATTGTGTTTAGACACTGAAACCCAAGTCAGCCGCTCACACACACAGTCAGATTTAGACTACAGTCCCTCTTGCAAAGTTATCTCTAAGATTTCCTTGAATATTAGAAAGCATTGACAATTTTGACCAAGTTTAAGGTGGCACATTTTTCATTTTTGTAAATCCAGTGTGCCCCCCTTTTTTTTAAAATTTCCTTTTCTGAACTGAATCTTGTAAATTAAAGTCAAATGGTACTTCCGGCGGTGCCATGAGCAGGCAGCGGCTGATAGCGCTCCAGCAAAATAGTGTTTTTTCTTTTTCTTTTCTTTCTTTTTTCTATGGCGTAGATGTTTTGTTTGGTTTCCCGACCGAGGAATTCTTTTATTTATTCATACTGTAAACTGTAAAGCTGCTATGTTGGTCATTTTAAACCACTTCAAGGTCACTTTAAATTTCAGTTGTAAATTTTAGACTGTTATTAAGCCTTTTTACCTCAAAGTGCATATTTACTCTCCTTATCTTAGTCCTAAAGTGTATGTTTATTCTTACTCTTCCTATATTTCTTGTTCTTTTCCACTGAATGCAGCTGAAGCCTTGTCGTCTCGGCTCTCTATATACTGTACTGTATATTAGCAGAGATGAAAAAGTTCACTTGACAAATTTAGATTAGGAGCAGGAGATCATTTAGACTATGTTTACCTTGTTATTGACAAGTGGCTGTTCGAGATATCAGTTCTGGTGGCATCTGTGGTTGCTACTGTAAGAGCAATTCATAGTCAGATCATCTCCATCCAAACACCAAGATGGGATGGTTTAGTGGCAAACTCGCAGTTCCACAAACCAAATTTTTCACCGTGGCTTGTCCATCATTTAATACAGTCTGTAATCAAACCACCGTTTTTCTCTTGCATTCAGTCTGACATGACAGGATACCTTGCATTCAGTTGTGTGTTGGACATGGTAATGTGTAATTATGCTGTCATAACCTGAGATGATACATGAGCGTGGACATTCCCTAAAGTTCATCCATGTCAGATCCACAGGAAATGATCCGTCAGTGTCAGCAGCTACACCTCAGCTCTTCAATTTTCAACAGGCTAAATATTTCACTTTGTGTTTTCTGAAAGTTATGTGTAAATGTCATGTCTTATAAAGACTGGCTGCTCTCTTGCTTCATGTTACCAGGAGCGTTGGAGCTGGCTGACTGCTCGGCTGACCTGCCGGGGCTGAAGTGGATGCCTGGGGTCACTTCCTGGAAGGTACTGGATTTTATTTTATTTATTTAATGCCAGTCGTTACTTTTGAATTGTAGATCTGTATCCAGACTATTTCTGTTTCTTTGTAGCTGATGACTAAAGAAGGCCAGTGGTACACGGACTGGTCCGAGGTCCCGAGTAGTCGTCATACGCAGATCCGACCAACCATGTTCCCGCAAAAAGACCCAGAGAAACTGGCAAGCTTTCATCTGGAGAGATGGTAAGTGAGCAGTCCCAGACAAACGGATGCAGGTCCATGCTAATGCGTTTTAGAATTGAAGGTGTTCTCTTAAAAATAGTGTGAAATAGCTTATTAAAGTGTTCAATCTTGGCATGACAAGTGTCCTTAAAACGTTTTTGTTAGCCTGCTTTGTTTTGGCTGATTTCTTTCAAGAATCGTTAAAATACAGAATTTCATTTTACAGAATTGGAGTACAGTAGAGAGCATCCTACACGTCACCTCTCACCACCGTAAACTGTGCTTTTTGAACTTACATCCAGTGTGCAGTAGATGCAGGCGCACCTGCCAACCTCACATTACGGAGGATGATGTCATGTTTAAGCGTCAGTGCTCACAATGACTTGATATTTGCAGCAGAGGGAGCTGTTGTCACATGTTGATTAAGGCGCTTTTTCTTTTCCCACATGCGGTCTTCACAGCAGGGGGCTCTATCAAACCCCAAGCTGTGATTTATTTATTTATTTTTAATAAATTTTTTTCTGTGTGTGTGTTTTATGGCAGTATGAGGATTCTGCCACATCACCAGAACACTGGAGGTTTCTTTGTGGCTGTGCTGGTGAAGAAAGCCCCGATGCCTTGGAACAAAAGATATCCTAAGGTACTTCATCTTAAACACTCACACACGATGCCCCCCACCCCACGTGCCTCACCTCACCTAACCTCGCCCACCTGGTCAGGTTATTAACCACACCTGGAGCTGTTTTTTCTTTGTCCGTTCACTCTCCTCCTCTTCCATCTCCAGCTGAGGAAAGACTCCAAGCTGTCGAGCTCAGCTGCCCAAACCGGCAGGTCCAAGGAGGCTCCGTCACCAGGAGACACTCCACATCTCCCCCCTGAAGGTTCCACTGAGAAGGTGGAGAGTAACAGCCAAGAGGAAAAAGTGGACAAGGAGGCAGATGAGACGCCCGAAGGAGCTTCTGTGGGTCAGGATGCCGGTGCTAAACCAGAGGGGATGTGTGGGTGAGTCGCACTGAGCTCATGAACTAATAAATGGAAACTTATGACTCTTAACTGGTTATAAATACAGATAAAAAAACAAACAAGCTCTTTAAAATGTAAGTAAACATTTTGTATCTGTCCTTTTTCAGGCCTCCACCCTCAAAGAAGATGAGGCTGTTTGGATATAAAGAAGACCCCTTTGTGTTCTTAAGTGATGATGACCCCGTCTTCACCACCATACAGTAAGTGCACCCTTGTCTTCAATGTAAAATAGGTGTTTTCAACATTTATCTGCAGCATAAATGCGTGTTTCCTGTTTTCCTCTAGGTCTTTCTATGATCTGTCTCCCGACTTCCCCAAACTCAACGTCCTGACTCGGACCCATGAGGGCAAGAAGAGGAACTTGTACATGGTGTCCAAAGAGCTCCGTAATGTCCTGCTCAATAACAGCGAACGCATGAAGGTAGGCACACGTGTTTGATAATGAAGATGAAACATTTGTGTTTTTGAAAATTGATACAGCCAATCCATAATCAGTTATGTCCTGGAGACATTGTATCGATCCTCTGGAGGAAGAAGCATTATGTTTACCTAAGTGCTGATTTATGGGCTTTACATTGATTCGTTTGTTTGGTTGGTTGTGTTGTTGTTATTTTTCCGTTCTTTTTGTGTGTTTGTCTCTGTGTGAGGGAAGCAGCTTAAACAGATGGGAGCCTCTCCTTTCCCAAATCCCTCTGGTCCTCCACCCTGCAGGACCTGCACAGGTGGCATTGTGGGGACTCGGGCTCTTTGTTCTCCCCGGTGTTTGTTGTTTCTCAATTTTTAGTCACTTTGTCTTAAAGGAACCGGAAACTTCAAGATCTTAATTTTCATATTTTTCCTCTGGTTTGTTGTCCTGTTTATCCATTTAAATGTGTTACGAGTTGCTCAGTTCTGGAGCGATCGTGTGCAGAAACGTCTACATTAACATAGTGGGAGTAAATGACAGTCCGTGTGTGGTGTGCCTTCACCTAACCTGTCATGTAGTGCAGTATATGACCAGTGAAAAATGCGGAGGGTGTCTGTTGATTGCTGTGTCAATGTGTCTCGTGAAGGCCGGGTTAGATGTTGTCGGACAAGATGCTGAAACCCAGATTGCTGTCATTCAGATATCCAGGTGTGTTGGTGTGTATGTGATGGATAAAAATGGATGAATATGGTCCACAGTGTAGTGATGGAAGATTTAAAAAAAGAAAAGAAAAACGCACTGTATAAATACCAGGCCATTTGTGTACGTGTGGTAGGAAAAAACATGCATAATCTGTAGGCCTATTTCATTTTAAAAGCATGTATTAGTGTTTGTATACTTAAGGCTTTGAGTGGTCAGTAAAACTAGAAAAGCATGATTATAAAGTATCTGTTTAAAACCAGGAATTAAATCTGGCAACAAGAGAAAAAGTGTATGTAAAGATTTCAGAGCACCATCATTAAGACACAAAGTATCCGACTAAAATTACAGCTGTGTTTCACTGAGTTAATGAGATGCTCAGTGCATTGTAATGGTGTGTAAGACCAGCTGAAAGAAATTCAGCCTCATTCTTTCAGCGGGCGCTAAATGGTCTGAGAAATTAAAAAATAAACATCAGAACATGTTTCTAATTGGTAAGTAGGACCTGTGTTGGCATCGGGTCTTTAGACTAAGGCTTTTAGGCTCACTGTACACAGAAGTCTGAGGAGTCTTCCAGGAATGAGGGGACTATTTTCTAGAGGACCGATTAGGGAGTAGATGGTTATTTTGTACTTGCAGCCCTCTTATCTGGAACATAAAGTTACGGTCGTGATATATCCTGCTGAGAGGTCAATCACCTTCACAGCCTCGCTTTACTATACAGGCCTCTGGCTCCATTATGTTCAAGAGAAGGCAAACATTTCTACAGCAGGCATCTCCAATAATGTTCAGCTCACACCAAAATAATCCTGACATGTAAACAGCACCACAGGAAAACCTGAGCGCTGATTGCACCTTGGTGAAACAAGCCTAGACACTGGCAACATTTTCTGTTTCCAGTTTTGTTCAAGTTTCGCGTCAGCTCTGAGAGTAAAACATGAGTGTTTGCATACAAGTTGGCGTCTTCCATGCAAACTACAGGTGACAGCAGCAGTCTGCTAGTGATCAAAGCAATGATGAGGTTTTTGGTGCGCCAGCATCTTTGCAACCTCCAGCAACCACTCGTCAATCAGTTGCCAAGGGGTTGCCGACCAGTCTCTAGGCCTGATGATTGAAGCCTTGCGGATCACCTTTACCTTAGTAGTCTCATTAAATTGACTTTAGTTCCCTTATAAAAAGAACAGCATGTGTGTGGTAGAGTTTTTACTATGCAAATCACTGACACAGTTGCTCCCACACCTGCTGGGACCCCAGAGACCGGCTGGGCTGTGTGCCGATGTCTTGTACAGTCGTTGCCTGGAGGAAGAGAGTTCAGTGTAATTACAATTGGATCACCAGGAAAGCTACAAGAAACATAATTAGTCACTGATTGGAATTTAAATAACCTGTCTCTTTTTTTCTGTTTATTTCAGTGTGGTGTTTTTATCTGGACGTGGTTCATTACACTCTGTTTTTTGTCTCTCAGGTCATAAACACAGGGGTGAAGGTGTGGTCTCGCAATAGTGAAGGAGAGGAGTTTGGCTGTGCCTTTAGACTGGCTCAGGAGGTAACACACACACACACACACACACACACACACACACACACACACACACACACACACACACAGTTTTCAGGCAGTCACAGTTCAGTCCTGTATATAAATCTGTGTTTCCATTTGTTCTTTGGCTATCATCTTGGCTAAAAGCTGCATGATTTGGAGACTGTTCAGTCATTCATCAGTGACGTGATGCACAAAAACTTTATAGTTCTATTATTTTATCAACTTAAATATACTTTGAGGTTATAATACATTTAATTTAATGTTCAGATATGCAAGAAATCCTTCCTGCTGTCTTTACTGTTGCCAACGCAGAGCTGTAGCCGAATAACAAGTGAGCCAGACGGCCGATTTCACACTCAAACGAGTTGATAATGAATTCATTTTATATGCTGCGTGTAACTGGAAAGAGTTTCTTTGTGCCGATTGTCAGCCACATGTACTTTCTGTCCTACCAGGGTATTTACACTCTGCAGCCATATATACGCTCCAGGATCATTAGGGTGAGTGTGGAGGACATCAAAGTGCTGCTGACCCAGGAGAACCCCTACCTCAGCAAGCTGGAGGATGAAGCACATGCACAGGCCCAGAAAATTGGTACAGTCAAATATAGATATGCTCTCCAACTGTGTGTGTTTGGGGAAAATATATCCAGGGTGCACACTGGTCTTTAAATTGTCTTAGATATACATTTATGGCGTCAGCGTATTAAATCACGGGACATTCAGTTTGGGTGGGTCGGATCACTCTGAGAACGCAGTTATTTTTGTTCCTCGACACATTTTAAGTCACTCGGCGTGGCTGAAGTTTTAGGGTCGTGCTCGAGAATCCCATCCATGCTCCGATTCAGGAGGCGACACCAGCAGGAAAACAGTGATTCACTGGTTCATTTTGACCCTGTTGAGTTCACAACTGAGTTTTACTGTCGACCTTTAAGTATGATTTTTATGATGTAATTTTTTTTTTCTTCCCAATGGAAATGATGTAAGTTAGGAAGCAGCAGATAAGTGACAACGAATGAAAGTGAAAATGGAATCTTTAATTCTCATCAAAAAAATATTTTTACAGATCAACTCTGACCAAATTCCCACTTCCACTCTAATATATCCCACCCACCCACAGTGTTACTCATGTCACCTGTCAGTGGTCATATTTTATGTACGTTTTCCTGCCGTATAACCTAACGTCACGGTAGGTTGTATCACTTTCTACTTCCTGTAAAACTTTAGTTTTCTCTCCACAGGAATGGGAAGCATTGTGCTGAAGTACATCCCAAACCCAAAGTAAGCTTGTAACATGTTTTTAGTGTTTCTGATGTTTGCATTTTGAAGTGACAGCCTGTTTTTTGTTTGGTTAAACTGTGCGACCCATCATCGTCCTTTATTTTTCAGTAACCCGGGGGAACCTCAGTGTCCCATCCAGCTGTGTGGCTGGAGGGGAAAGACGTCCATCCGAGCATTCGTCCCCCGCAACGAGAGGTTTCATTACCTCCGAATGTTAGGTGTGGAGGTCTTCAGAGACAAACAGGGCCTCGGGCAGAAACGGAGTGATGGAGAAAAGGACGGAAAGGAGGAAGCAGAGGATGCGGCAGAGAAGGACGAAGAGCAGGAAGAGGAAAGAGCAGCAGACAAAGAGGTGGATTTGGAGAACGGCAATGAAAATGGATCATCAGAATCAAAGACCGACTGTGGTGACAAAGAGACGAGTAGCTGAGAGTGTGAAGGTGATTGTAATGAGAAAGGACTGACTGACGTATCGCAGCTTTAAGAGCTGTTGACCAGGTCCACAACCACACGCCGTGGTACAGGAGGGTAACGCACCGCTACGGCTTCCTCTGCTCACCACACTGCCAGTGCACAAGGATTCCCTCCCAGAGATGCACTCCCGTGGGATTTTTCATTTATTGGAGCCTCTCTAGGAGTCAGCATTTTAGTTAAATGGCTTATATTATTTTATAAACTTTTTTTTTGCATTTTAACAAATATAGTCCACCGATAAGTGGAACAGATCCCTTTCATTCAATTGCTCACATTTCAGGAGGTTTCTATTAATTGCTGTTTTATTTTTTACACCTGTAATTAAGCAGAAGTACGAAGCTGATTAAATGCTTAAAAGGTTCACTGTGTCACTAGTCAAGTGATTTCACTTTAAGATTAATGCGGCCCTGCTGATCTGCAAAAGGGCGCTTGAGCAGGGATTGGTTAGAAGTAGATGGTGAAGGTTGGATATTAAATAAACTCTTGCAGGTAAGTTACTTTCAGTGACATGCTTGTGGTTTCCAGCTATGAACAAGTAACAAGTTTCCAGCTGGTTGTAGAACACAGGGCGCAGAGGCTGGGGCATAGACTGTAAATAAAAGATGGCCACATCCACCTTGTCGGTTTTAAGGAGCCACATTTGGATTACAGGCTGATGTGCCAAATTAAGTCTGATACTGGCAAGCTAGGTGATAGCTACACATTCATTTATTTTATGGAGTGGAGAAAAGAATCCTTAAGGTTATATAAGATTAAAAGTTAGGTGGGGGTGGGATTTCACTCTGGTCCAAAATGGTTAAAAAAACAAAGTGTGTATGACATGACCAAAAAGCCTCCTGTAGATGTGTCTCAATATTATTTGAGAAAAGTATTTAAACACTGATGCATCACAATGCTGAGTTTCAACAACAAGTCCACTTCTTAAAGCGAAGGTCAAACCACATTTCAGGCAGCGGTTGCCACGGCGCCTTCACTTCACTGGCTGGCTGGACATTTCCTCCTTATGTTTATTACTCAGTCCAGCTGCCATGACAACAGCTGGCATGACAACCAGCCCCCTTACCTCTGTCTGGTGATAGAACAGAGGGACCACGGAGAGCATCCTGCACTCCTCCGCTCTTCTTGGTTTCTGCTCCAAACTGTCCTTAATCCGTTCTTCCCTTCTTTTTCATCTGTGACCTCTGAAGTGCAGAGCGCTGGGTATTACCTTTCAGGAAAGCAGCTTTCATGTCACTTCCTAAAGCTGTGGGTATGTAATAACAGTGTTTGCAGTGGTAAAAGGGGACAAGTATGGGATAGGAGCTGGTGTTAGATGTTAAGAACTAAACACTGACGCACTCACGTTCCTGGGTAGCCGACTGAGATTGGCAGCCAAAGCGAAACAGTCCCCACAGACTCCTGTTTTCAAGTACCGAACATCAGTGATGGACATGTTTAGCCTTGTACTGGTTATCTGGTACATTGTGGTCCTAAAGGATTGCACGTGTCTGACCATGTTGTTTACGCCAAATTCTTTCAAATGTTGCACCAGAAATTGAGACTCATCAGACCAGGCTTAGTAAATTTGGGTCTGGTGGTATTCGGTATGCTCTTCTGCTGCTGTAGCTCATCTGCTTTAAGGTTCAATATATGCAGTCGCAGATGCTCTTCTTCATAAGTTTGAAATGTTTGTTATGTGAACTTCTAATATTTATTTAGTTTATTAACTAGAATTTGCGATTGCTGGAGAAATTGCAGTGGGATTGTTGCTACTTGCAGACTGTGATTTTCTTGGATGTGTGTTTCTGTTAATCATAAGGTAATTTCATAATGAGAAACAGAACGGGTGTACCCAATAAATGTAAATGGCTGACATTGCAAAAGCAGTATGATTTTTTTTTTTTTTTTTTTTTTAAATGCTGAACATTGTGCGATGTCGAGTAAAAGAAAAACAGCTCATGCTATACTTGAATCTACAACCTTCAGTTCAATAGAAGGGAAGTAGCAGTTTACCCACCGAGCCACTCATATCAGTAGGACTATGGCCAGACACAGGCCGACCAATCCACAAATAATACTTCTATATGAGAAAAGCGCTTTCCACTCCTATTACAAACAGAACGTGATTCTGGTGGGTTTTAAAAGGTGTGAGCATCCTGACAAGATGCTCTACACATCTGTGGATTTTGGTGTGTCTAGTGCTTCAGTTGAGGTCAGGAGCGCAACTTCAAAATTGAGTTTATTTTCTTTCTCTCCAAAACTGGTTGGAAAAATGAAACAGGGAGTGAATGGGAGCACAGGATGGTATTCCTCTGAAACAAATGGCTCTGTTCAAAAAGTATACATTTCTGAGGAAGTGTTTGTGTGAAAGAAGGCAACTGCAGCTACATTTTGAGGCTAAAATAATGGTTGTAGGGTTGTAGATTTGAGTAAAAATAACAGAAAAAGTAGAAAGTACAGTGAAAAATAAAAAAGATGTGTGACATCGGTGTCTGTAGGGTCAGCAGTGTGGGAGAACATCGGCCCAATTTACTCCCACAGCAGAAAATTGAGAGAGGCTGGTCTCTCTATTCAAAGTCAATGTCAACCTACCGACAGAAAAAGTAGAATATTTCAGGAACTGTACAAAATTTCACAAATCTGAAGAAAAGCACGCAGTGCACGAATGGCAACTGGTGTGAAACTAGTTAGCAGAGGAATAATAATAATAAACTAAATGGCCACCGACAATAACACATAATGGGATTGTTAGCCAGTAATGCTAGCTAGCTTGGTAGCTGAAAATCGAGCACATCACCACCTTATCTAAATATGGTCACTTCTGCTTCCAAAGAGCCAGAATTGCAGCAGCCAAATCGCTAACACTGTCTTCACAATGGAGAGTGTAGAAATCAGCGAGTGTCGCATTAGTTGCACTTCCATCCTTTATATACAGTGTGTTGGACATGAAATGTTTTATGGTAGTTTCACAGACACAGATCTACAGTATTAACAGTGTGTGTGGGTAAAGTGCTGACATTTAATTTAATGCGTTAAATGTTTGTATTCATTAAAATGCTATCAGTCAAGGATGAAAGATGGGAAGGAAAAATGCTTCATTTTCTTCAGGCCGAGGCAGGATGGCACGTGAAATTGGAAAGAGTTTGGAAATGATAAGAGCCTTGAGAGGATGACGAGAGATGGGAGCATGGATGGAGGTTTAGAGAAAAGGTGGCGACGAATAAATTGAATCGGAGCGATAGCGAAAGGTTTGGAGATGAGGCAAAATCCGTTACTGAGTCACAGTCCTGTGTGTGCGTTTTGGCAGCTTGAGGGATGCCTTTTAGCTGTGACGTTTACTGCCAGCTTAATAATGCTGGTAATAACATCAGCTGTGCTCAGGGACACACATTAACTTTACATCGTCTTTTCCTTCCTCTCCTACCGTAGCTCCCCACTGTTCCCTGTTTGCCTTTTACTTTGCAGTTAAATTTCCATTTAGTCCTTGTCTCAAACCTTATTCATACCACTAACCATGTCTTTCCATTTTGATTATCTTTCTCCCTCAGAGGAGCTTTGTAAAAACACTCGCGGCCTCCCAAAAGCTCACACTCTAAAATGTTCTCATACTGTCAACTCAGTTTAAGCTGCTGCTCTTGGTTTTCCCTGAGAACGCCAATTTTACTGGAGCGCTGTTGTGCTTTGTTTTTTTTTTTTGTTTTTTGTGTGATTCACTGAGATTTTCTAGCGATGACTTTAATGTAACCCAACACTCGAGTTCTGTGGTTGTTTTCTGCCAGTCTCTCCCTTTTGTCTCATGTTTCTGTGTCAGAGAGGTCGATGGTTCCAGGTTTGAAACAACTGTCTGACTGATGTTTCTCGTCCTCCACAGTTTTTGTATTTTCAGGGAGCATTTTAGTTTAGAATAGTTCTGTGAACCCTTCCCATCTGCACTGTGGTGCAGATTAAAAGGTTTAGTAAAATGTCCTCATAGGAGTAAAGAAACCCTTCATCCTTTATTAATGATGTCATTTCTTAACCATACAAAAAGCAGGATAAGTGGTGGAAAAACTGCACCAGCAGTGCATCGGATGTGAAAAGTTGTAGCAGCTACAGAGACATTGTTCTGTTTCAGTTTTTATCAGAGGTAACAAGAAGCTTGAATATTAGGCTTTGGCTTTCTGTGAGTGGCCAGCAGAGGTGGGTAGTAACTAATTACATGTAATCAGTTACAATCACCTGACTAACCTTTTAGAAAAAAGTATCGCTACTCTTACTTGAGAAAAAATTCTGGATACTCTACTTAGTGTGAGTAACTTCAGTGAATGAATAAAAAACGTGTTTTAACCAAAACTGCATGCGACAGACACAAACCTACAGTTTATCTTAAAGTGAGACTTCTTGTTTGAACATGAGGTTTGTTGTTTTTATGTTATTCTAGCCACTGAACCTGTTGTGCCATTTGGAGATGTAGAGTAGAACTGGTAGGTAATGTATATGTACTCGAAATATTAGTATAATAATGATGTGGAAAAGTGTTTCTTGTGCTTAGATTTATTATTTTGTAATCATGGTTTTGTTTTTGTTTTTCAGTCTTTAAAATACCAAAATTGGCACTAAACTTTGTTTTTGTCTGTCTGATTATCTCATTTTTAAACATTAAATCAGACGTTATGATCAGTTACTCAGTACTCAAGTAGCATTTTTTACTAAATACTTTGCTACTCGAGTAATTTCTTGGCTACTTTTTACTTTTGCTTGAGTAAAACTGAGTTGAGGTAGTGCTATTGTTACTTGAGTCTAATTTTTGGCTACTCTACCAGTAACGTAAGTCCTCAAATTATAATGTGTGTTGCTATAGATCCTGTCTCCAGGACACATCACATGGGCATACTGGACCATCTTACTCACCCCTCTCTAATAATCTGATGGTATCTGAATGTGTCAGCTTCAGATGCAAATATCTGAAGGCATGCTACCCCATTAACTGCTCACACAGGATTTCAACTTTGCCACATTCGCTCCTGCATCTCAGTTGCTCAGCAGATCAAAAGATGGCCACTGTAAAATGTCCAAATAAGCCCCCCCCCCCAAAAAGAAAAAAAAACCAAACCCAAACTTTTGAGCTGCACAGATAACTGAAGAAACTTTGTAACACAAGTAACGACATAACTGTAATGTAATTAACACATTACTGTGCAACTGAAAAATGCAATGTGATTACAGTAATGCATTACACCCGACACTGAAAAATGAATCACTTGAAACTAGAGCCCAGCTGATGTTATGAGTCAATAAATGGTATCATTTATAACAGCTGATATATGAAAATGTAAAAAAAAGAAAATTAGTTATGATTTAATCAAACTACATCTGAGGAATATAATAAAATATCGACTGATC